TTACATAGCCAACGAACACTTGGCACGGACGAAAATGTATCTAGCCTGGTCGCAAAGGTTCATGCTCTCTGGGGTTAATCAGCCCGCGCCTCAAAGCATAAGGCCATGAGGTTTTAAAATATACTTCCCACAACAGTTGGTTACGCAAACCGACAAAATGATCAGTGGTATGACGTAAATTTTTGATCTTCGATTCACGTCATGTTGAATCTGATCTGTGCAACCTGTACGATAATTTCTTTTTAAATAATAGTAATTATTTTATATTACCTGATTATTGATGGCAACGAATGTTGAATTAACCATTGCTGTGGATTCAATGTATAAATAAGTCACGTTTTCGTATTTCTGAGCAAGATAATGTCAACAACAAATATCGTGAAGCACAAGAGATCAGAGAAATATGAAATTTTATCAAGAAAGCATAAATGAAAGGTTAACTCAGAAAAGCAGAAAAGCAATGCGAGTACCTCAGACAGAAATGTCCATGGGTCAGTTCCCGACGGGAATGCAAGGGCTTCATATCTATTTTGGAACGATCGTACCGAAGAGATATCGAAAAGGTTATGGTTACCGACTACAGTTTTGCGAACGAACTTGTCGAATGGATTCTTGGCAATAACAGTACAAAGATCTGGTACTTGGTTCGGACGTTAAAAGTTAATGACACCGAATCCAGTTAGCTTGCCAAGGACATATTATCGATCATTATTATCTTCTCGGCAAGACATAATAGGCTCAGATCAGCTGGAAACAGAAAACGACAAAGAGAGATTGTATACACGAAAGATACGGATTTACTCAAAACTCGAAAAAAAAGAGTAAAGTCAAAAAACTGGATGGATCATATCATACGAAATCACTACCTGAACGATGAGTGCTTCAAAACTGAAGAACTCCTCTGGGTAAAAGATACCTTTAGAGAAGTACGGTTCGTACGCGATTCGATAATTGATGGCTACATGTAAAACAAATAAGAAGTTGCATGGAAATAATTTCGAATGAAGTCCCGATCAAAGAAAGATTGAATACAAACCATCTCGATGCTCACTACGGATTAGAATAGGAACAGTGGGAAATACGCATTCCTAAAAAATATTTCAAAACAATTACCAGATAACAATACGGTCAACATAACTATGAATCATCTGGGACGTTTTTTACTTGTGTGTTTCCTCCCTTTGGATATCATCGATAATCAAGATGATGTCGGGGAAAGGTAATCTCCCTGACTGTCAATTAATCGAGTGGGGTAACGGTGATTTTAATAGAATATTTAAATTATCCAAGAAATATGACAAATTACGAAAGATAAAAATCTTTCTTTAGGAAGAACAAACAATAGGAGAGATTCCGATTGAGAAAAAAGATGCTACGAATCATACAACGAATCTGCCATCATCAGCTGGCCCATTGGTTATGTCAAAATTACGAGATCATTCTTTTACCCAAATTCAAAGATTGTTCGTGCGATGCTAACTTGGTTACATTTCAGGTTTCAGATGTTCTTACATCATAAGTTGAGGGGAATTGTCGATTCGTAAAAAATGATTTCGGTTGATCAAACGGAGGGTCAGGTTTTGGCCTGACTTTGGGACTTGAACCTGTATGGGATACGATATGCCTAATAGAGACTATATTTATTCATATTGGATTCAATTTCAAGGGGTCAAAATCAATTACGAAATTCATTTTGGATTTGTGGTGTTTAGGTAAATAAGATCCCAAATGTTCTCTGCGATAACCTCCAATAATTTATTTGAATATCAACAATATAAAAATATAAAAAGGTTTCGATCCACGAACAAAAAATGTTCTTGCCCATTCATAGGGTCACGAAATTATCACATATGTTATGTCGTTGGTCGACTTCAGAAACGGGAACTTTGACTATATGACGTCTTAAAATAATTTCCAGGTAATACCGGTTCTCTCCCGCTAAGAGGAATTTACATGTATGTGAAGGTCTCCAGCCCGAAGCAGAGGTCAGACCTCGAAGGACAAAAGAAGCTGATCACATTGCGCGTTCCGGCAGCGGCTAAAACACAAGGCCGAGGAAACGGGCGTGATAGTGATTATCTAGGATGAGGTGTACTCCAAGACCTGCTGCTTAATGAGAATTGATAATCTTTATTTAGTCACAATTTGCTCGATTGCAACAATAGAAGGATCTGCACCTTTTTTTTTACGACACGGGTTAAATATTCATTGGTTGTCGGAAAACTTTTTTAGTTATTATCTAAGACTTCGTCCGCATTATTAACCCTATTAATTAAGCTTGGTTGAATTAAAAAAAAATATATTATGTCTTATACCGCATAAAACATCCATCCCCACGCATAATAAATACCCTTACCATCCATGGTAAAAGCGACAATGATGTTGGCATTACATTCTCTTCTGCGGATGGCTTTAGTCGGACCCGAATAGACATCGTTAATCATTTCTGACTAATAATGAAACAAATTGTCTATTGCGTATCAGACCATTTTTTTAATATCCAGCGGCTTCCATAAAGAACACAGCACGCATGCATTATAGCCAAATTAGTACTAATCAAAGCTTATCAGTGTTATGCATTGCATAATATAAATCCTATTAAAACTTGTATTATTTATATCTACATATTAAAAAATTTTTTTCTTATTTCATGTTTTGTTATTAAAAATAATTTTTATTTATTATATTTTTACTTTATTGAAAGTATCTATTTTTTATAAATATTACTACTTAATTATTACTTAATGATTATTTATAGATTTATAATATAATAATGAATATTTTATAAGATTAAATTATAAGATATAGATTTAAATTCTTTAAAAGGTTAATATAAAATATTTAATTAAAAACAAATAGATAAAACTTATATTCATTAGCCTAATTATAAATTAACTGATGTTTTCAAATATAATTACTGGCTTATATAAAAATTATTATTTAATTAAAAACTTTTATTTGTTATCAAACATTAAGAATCTTTACAAAATAAATTAATTTTAACTTATTAAAAATAAAAGTTAACATATGCAAACTATATATATTTTCTTATTACTATAAAAAAAAATTTGATCAATAATACAATTTTGAATTAAATATAATTTTCAATTATTTATTAATTGTTACTTAGTAATACAAATATAATATAGTTTTTGAAAAATATTCGAATTAAATATATATATATATATAATATATATTTTTGAAAACCTAAAAAAATAAATAAATAAACAATTGTTAATTATTAGTTAAATTATAAACTATATATGTATACTTCATAGGTATTGATGATAAAAAAGAAGTATAAAATAATAAAAAAATAAATTTAAAATTAATAATATATAAGACCTATAGATTAATAACATAGTAAATAATACTTTCAGATTTTCAAATAAATGTTTCTAGTTTAATATCTACAGAAGGCAAAATGTAAAAATTTATCTATATGTAATTTTATTGATTTTCCTATATATAAAGTAAGGATTACAATTTTTATTCAAATTCAAATATAAAAACTCAATCAACCAACACTCAAATTCCACAAATAAATATAATCGATTCACTTCCAATTCCATATACCCTCAAAAATTCAAATGACATATTCATAAATCAAATATGAATCAGATTAAATTGAATTTTAAAATTTTTAATCTGATCAGATTTGAATTAAATCAAATTTTTAATTTTTAAATCTAGTCAGATATAAATCAAATTCAAATTAGATATAACTTAATCTATATAAATTATTAAATAATTATTTAATTTTATTTAAATAAAACTAATTAGGAAATTAAAATAAAAAACTTACTTTTTTTAATTAATATATTAAAAAAATTTAATATCTAATATAAATAACATTTGATATATTCTAGATATCAATATGTATTAATAAAGATATCATATAATATAATTTACTCCCAAAAAAATTTAAATTAAATTGTTTTTAATAAAAAAAGATATTTATTTACTAAATATAATTATAATTAAGGATTTTAATATTTTAATTTAATTTAATTTTAATTTTTAGATTTATATTAAACTTAATATATGAGTTATATTTTATTATAATTTTTAATAATATTCTAAATCTTATATAAATTTATACAAGTCTAATTTTCAGAATTATAATTATAATATTATTGTATTAACAAATAAAAAATTTAACTAATAATTATTTCAATTAGAATAAATCATTTATTTTTTAAAAAAACTATTATTAATTCAAATTTACAACTTTTGAAAAATTATAAAAACTTTTTTTTACTAATTCTTTTATTAATTTAAAAAAAATATTTTTTTTAAAAATTTTTATATTTATAATAATAAAGTTTATATATATTTTTTAATAATATTAATTTTTTTTAAAAAAAAAAACTCTTTCCCACTTCTCTTTTTACACTTGAAAATTTTTTTTTTAGGAAATTTTTGAGTTGTTTACTTTTTTTTCGTCTTTGTCTTTCTCTCTTTCTTATTTTTTTCTTTATATATCTTTTTATTTCTCTTCTCCTATTTTCTCCTCTCTCTTCTATATACTTTTTTTATACTTTATACCCTCCTCTTCCTCTTTTCTCTTTTTTTCTTTCCAAAGTTAGATTTTCTTTTTTTTCTGAAGATTTTTCTCCCTAAGCCTCTCTTTTTCTTAAAAAATCTGTTTCTATAACATTAACCCTCTGACTAGTCGACTTCTTTTTCTCAAGGATCATATTAAAAAGTAGTAATCTTTCTCAAGACATGGACTTGTAGAATTTTCTCTCTTCCATGATTCTTTAAAAAAAGAATAAATGGTTTACCTCCTTCAAAAGATTAATATGGTTATTATTATCAAACTCGGTGTTGTTTACTAATCAGCAATTAGACTAGATATATCCAAGAAACCTCTGTACAACTATTATTACTTAAAAGTACCCAAGAAATTGCACTTCACAGTATCTAGAGTAAAATAGCAGCCAATATCAATGCAATTAGCAATAGGCTAAATTAGTTGCAAGTGTTATGCTAGTGATTGGAAAACTTAATAGAGTAATACGTGACAACCAGGGATTCTAGTTACTCCAAAAATGAGCTAGTGATAACAACAAAAGTTTCTTGCTTACCTCTCAAACAATATAGATCTATTGTGCAAGGTTAAGTTCTGGTGTTATTAAGAAAATCAATATAAACTCTACCCATAGGACATTTCCACTATACTTGAAGCATGGGTATACCAAATTCTTTTTGTAACTTGAAAGCAAATCTGTATAAAGTGGCTGCAATGCCTTTATACAAAAAGATACTCACCTTCCACCACTTTCAATACTACTTTGCTTGTCATATATCAAGTCATATTTGGAAAGCAGGCATGCCAATCCTAATAATGACTTGGAGGTCAACCTGTATAGATTGGCTGCAGCATCTTTATGTGATTAGGTACTTATTTATTTCTAGGTAGTTAGATACCATTCAAGACAATAATATAGATTTTTAAATTTCTTTTTTTCTGTATTTCTTGAATGGTACTAAAAGAGTACAGGAGTTGGGTCCATTTTGAAGCCATGTGTTAAACTCTTTCTAACAAAGAGAAACATTGTTGTACTATTGATATTATACCTTGTTTTGCAAGTAAAAGTATAATAAACATAATAAAGTGTAATAGCCATTTGCTCTTTTCAAAAAAAATATATATATTATTATTAATTTTTTTTTTTTTTTTTTTTTACCCTTGCCGTTAACTCAGGTACCTCTTTTTTTACCTGCGAGGCTCCCGTGGTTTCTTCAGGGTACAGGGGGGGTGACCTCGGTTCTAATTATTCGTCTTAGGCCTAAGCCTCTAAGTATAGATGGTGGGGTGAAAAGTTGCTATTTCAAAACAAGCAGACCTTTGCTATCATACCAGGATAATTATTGCCTGCAGCCACCACTATAGTATTTCAATTGTTCAGTTTAGCCAAGACTTACTAGGATTTAGTCAATGAGATATTATTGGTAGGATGAGGGTACATCAGTATACCAAATTCACCTGGAAATCAGACCCAGCCTTACACTTCCTAATCTGACCTAGCAACACATGTGGGGGTTACAATTTATAAGAGCATGTAGTCAACCATCGCAAGTGTACCCTTTAGGATAAAACATCTCATGATACAAGCAACCTCCTGCAATCCCGACCGGATCCTCACTACCAACAGACATGTGAAATTCTTACTAATAGTTGTGCGACTAATGGTTTTAGCCGTTTGTACCTTTCCTTCCACTATTGGAAAGATCCCATGAAACTTCTTCCCCCTTTTGGAGGTAATAATATTATTAATTTTTTAATTAACAAAGTAAATAGTAATTATTATTTGTTTTTTTTTTTTCAAAATATTTTTTTTGTTTATTTATATAACTAAATAACAAAAAATTATTTAAAAAATTTATTGTTAAAATATCTTTTCAAAAAAAAACCAATAAAAAAATAGTTTCAAAAGTTTTTAAAAAATTTGAAAATTAAAAAAAACTAAAAAAAAGATTTGAAGTCTTGTTATTTTTATTTATTTTTATTTATTTAAAATTATTTATTTATTTTAATTTGATTTTGAATTTTTAATTATATTAGATTTTTTGAAAAATAATTAATTAAAATTACAAATTAATTAATTATATTTATTATAAAAAAATAAATAAGACATATTTTTTTTATATGTTTTTAATTATATAATATTAAACTAATAATATAATTAATTAAGAGTTAAAAAAAAATTCTTAATAAATTTTTTTCATAGTAATTCTTTTTAAAATTAAAGAAATCAATATTTTTTTTACCTTTCAATATCTAAAAGTCCTCTATACTTTTTTTATCTTTATTATAAAAACCTCAAGAAAACCAAAAAATTATACTGGTACATTGGAATAAGACTTCTGATTAAGAAAAAACAAGTTTTTCAAACTTGTTTTTTTCTTGAATTACATAAGAAAAGACTTACAACAGTTGTTTCTTTATAAATTTTTTTTAAAGTTTTTCCCATTTTTACTTCTTATTAATATATATTTCTTATTAAATAAACAAATTTTCTGCTTGATAGTTTCTTAGATTTTTCTTTCTAAATTTTTTCCAATGATATATCTGCTCATGGTGGCAGGTCAATATGTATTATCATATACTTCATACTTTATTGATTTTGTATATAATGTATTACATTTACTACGTATAATTAATAAAGCCTTGAGGAAGACCTCACTTAGCATAAAAAAAAAAAACTTTATTTGTTTATTTCTTTTTTAAAAAAATAAAAATTTTATATTTTTTTAGTATAAACCAAAGGAGAGAATATGATAAGAACCCTAATAACAGTTAATAGATATATGCTCTTTAAATTGACCATACTTGGCATGCGAACCCATCCATAAGATATAAGTTAATATAAATAGATTAGAAAAAAGGCAGGTGCTAAGGTTAGGTTAGCTAGAATAGTTAGTCAGACCTTTCATA